CCTCGCGATGTGCCACCCCCAACTGAAGCATCTAGGCATTCTCTGGATGTTGGATAACTGCCTAACTATTCCCCACATTAGAGTCTTTCCGGGTGATCGTAGGCCACGAGGTGCTTCCTCGGCAGAGCTTGTCGTGCTCCTGGAGCGAACTTAACAGTGTGGCCGTCACAACTCTCGCGATCCACGACCTATCTACCAAGTCAAATTTAATTGACAGCTTCTGCCACAGTGTGAAATATACGTTTCCCAATCTGCGCGTCCTGCGCCTCGAAGGAATCCGTCCCGCGAGTCTACGACTTCATTCGCCGACACGGCACCCTGCGCGAAGTCGCAGCGAGCTTTGAGCTAGGACATCATAGGTTGCTTCGCTTGGAGGCCTTGATCAAGTTGTTTCAAGGGAGAGTACATACAGGGAACTGGGTATATTCAAAACACGAACCGCACCTCGTTCTGGATCAGCCTAGCTTCGATGAGTATGCTGTCGGCTGCCCAATTCCTCCTGACTTCGATTTTAGCTGGGGAGCCTTCTATGATTTCAAGTTCTCACGCGTACCCCTGCCAAATGGCGAAATCACCGATCCTCAGAAGCCCCGCTACAAATGTATTGGACTGGCGATTCAATTCTTTGAAATAGTTTGTGTTTAAAGAATCTTTACACTGATCTAATCGTACCGCTTGCTATCGATGTGCGCGCCCAGACAGCGCCAGGGCTCCTACCCGCAGCGCGGGAAATGTCCAGCGGACACCCAACCGGAAGAGGTCTCGGTCGCGCTGCCACTGGCGTGAGTGGCGAATGGCGCGTGCCGAGTGGGACCCCTCTTCGAGGAGTACGCAGAACGCGGGACAGTTAGGGGTGCAGCGCACCTCTTCTCGTCTCTCATCTCGGCTACTCTAAGGTTGGTTCTCTTAAGCTTGCACAGCGTGCATCTTTTCTCGTCTCTCATCTCGGCTATCTTATAGGCTTATTTGGCTTTCCCTCCTTCCCTCCCTTGTTTTTGTTTTATGGTCGTGTCTTCGTCACTCTGTTGTAACTCTACTGTTGGTGCGTTTGTCTGTACTGTCCTCCGCTGCCCCACCATCGTCGCGCGACGCGCGTGGACGCCTACGGAATTGACTTAAGGCTGTCCTCCCGGGGACGGCCGGATTGCGTGATTACGTGTAAACTCCGTATTTGACATTGCAAACTCGCAGCGCGAGTTCCTCTCACATCTTCAGGTGAGACGGCAGCGATTAGACAACGATATCGAGCATTTAACTGCGCAGCTGCCGCCCGACGTTACTGCGTTTTTAGGCGAGATACCTGAGTGTCTTTTGGACGTTCAAGAATTACGTCTCTCGTTCGCTATCAAGCAAGATCCTCTGTTTCCTTTCGACAATGTCATGCCAGTGAGTAGCCTTGGGTCTTTGTTGTTACCGCCAATCCCCGTCCCCATAGGGCTCGATCGCAAAACAAATGAAGAATTGGCCAAACATACGAAAGTTGACGCTACATTGGCTATTTGACGGTGCCTACTGGCAGTGCAAGCACGTCAATGATCGCTGGGAGCGCGAGAATGATGAGCTTTGCGAGTTATGCGATTGCATAGATATTCCTTTCCTCGACTGGCTGACACCTCCTTTCTACTGCAAAACCGGCGGGGCGATGTCCCTTTCTTGCCTGCATAGCGAATACGCTCTTGACGACACCATACGGACTGTTTTGTGCCTGGACGATAGTGCTCCACTGGATACGGACGATCCGAATCTGCTTTTCTGGGCACGGGAAGCACGGAATTACCCCTTGGTTGTCAGGGTCGTGCGCCAACTGGCAAAGGCGAATCTCGCCCTCGAAGGGTACGAATGGTTCGTCACCGAGGATGCGGATTCCAAAGGCAGACGTCGTTCTATGGAAATGGCGTATCTCTAGGCATCCCGATGGCTCTGTGAGGAGCGTAAACGGACATTTGTGGTGGACTGGATGTCCTCGAGGCGACCCGCCGGCGTTCTTGGTGCTTGTTGGTCAGGAACTCGAACATACTATCCGGGATGCCGAAGGTCGCTGGCGGTACTAAGAGTCTCGTCCGCAATTATCTTGGCCCGGGATTTGAAGCTTGTAAGGTGTGTAATGTCACCTTCGTTACGAGCCGTCGCTGCCTCGATAGACTTGAAGGGATTGCCTCGGAGGACGAGGGCTTAAATGACAAAATCAAATGAGAACGATGTTTACTCGCTATTGTTCCTGCTCTCTTTCTCGTACTTACGCGGGATGCTGAAGGATGCTTCTGACAAACTGAGACATGAGCAAGCAATGTACAGTGTGTTTCCGCATCAACGTGTATTGTAGTTACAGACGGGAGACACTGATGAGTTGTGTCGGGTCCCGGCCCTCAAAGCTTCAAGCTTTGGGCCTTCAGGTGCTACCGCTGGCGTCTCGTTGTTCTTCCGCGAATCTCAACGTACGGGGGATAACTTAATAGCAACCGGTCGTAGTCAGTGCGCATCACTTCGTCATGTTAAGCTATCTTCTAAGCAGCAGGGCAGCAAGATGCAACAGCGAGGGTTCAATGACCTTCCGAATGAGTTGATCCACGAAGTCTTCGAGTACGTGGACGTGGCACGGCCCAAGTACCCACCGAAGAACAGGGCGGAAGATGTATTTTATATTCTTGCACGCCTCAGTCGTCGCATGAAACCAATAGCGCTGACTTTTGCAAGGCGGCATCGATACTTCAAGAATATCGACGAGTTTGAAGACTTTCAGCAAGAGATAGATGCTTGGAGCTCCAGGAATCATGTTGAAGAAGTGGGAGAATGTGAAAACTTCAAGGTGACAAAGTATGCTCCCATCCCTTTTCAACATCCTCGTTATTGTTCGTTCACAACTCATGTCGGTATCCGAACCTAGGACTATCTGTATTGGCCGTGTTCCATACCTTTACGGCCTGTACACGTTCGATCGCTACTACGACAAGTTCTTTTTCAGCTGGGACTGGTTCCAATGGCCTAATCTTGTCTCATTCGAATGTGTTGATGCCGTGACAACTCCTGGATACAACTTTGAGGCTCTTTCCGCGTCCTCTTCCGGGCTGCGAAACCTCGTCTTGCTCTGGCGATGCAACCTGCTATTCCCAGAAATCGGCCCCTTCCCCAAACTGAAGACACTACGGCTGTTCATGGTAGATGTAGACAGGAACGGCACTCTTCGTCCGTCGCCACCTATTGGGACCTATGGCAGCCTTCGCACGCTGGCGATCCACGAGCTATACTCCTTCGAGGCCATTGAACGCTGCTGTCGCGGACTCTCATTTCCCAACCTGCGCGTCCTGAAGCTAACATACGTCGAAGGTCAACCATCAATAATTTACGACTTTGTCCAACGCCACTCTACACTCCTCGAAGTGAATATATGCTTCTCAAATACATGGGACGAGGCTTCGCCGTTGCGACTCGAGGCTCTGCTCAAACTCATCGACGGTACAGGCACATGGGTTAGACCGAGCGAAGGCAGCAGACTCCCGGTGGACCAGCCTTCCCTCAAGGACGTGGACGCGCAGTCGCCTACTAGGCCCCCGTCCTGGAAGGAGTCGTATGGTGTTTTCTATGAATTCGCATTCTCCCGTCGCCCGTTGTCTCCAGAGGCATCCCGCTGGCGGTCGTCCACCGGTTCTCCGCACGCAAGATTCAAGTGCACTGCCTTTGCGGTCAACTGGATTTGGCCCGGCGTCAACGAGGCCGCACACGCCCAACCTCGAACGGAGCATGTACTCACGGATCCCGTCGAGTTTGTTTGTAATCCGCCACACTTCCAAGACCACTTCTGGAGCGATGTACAGCAGCTTCGGCTCGCTTCGGAGTTGATGAGGAATCGAGAGATAGACTACCACGGCATAATGGTAAGTGTTCTTTGTCTGTGGTGGGTGTTTTCACACTCACGAGAAGCGCATTAATAGCGTCTGATTGCGGAAAGCCTTAGCCTCAAATGGCCCAGGCTACGCTGTCTGGCGGTGTATTGGCCCAAAGACGAGTGCCTTTGGCATCTCCCCCATTCTGACGAGCCGGAAGACTCCACCGCGTGTCGCAAGAACGCAACGCTGTTCCTTGAAAAGGTTTTCCCGCCTGCCTTCGAGTTTCTCGGAACTCGACCTATATACCCGCGCGAGGAGGATCCTCGTCTTGAAGACGCAGTGAAAGAGGTTCTGCAGCTCCGAAGGACGCCGATC